CATCTCCTGCCATCTAGAGTACCTAGGGTTAAGGCCATTTGCAATGAATCAGGAAGCAGAAGTCTCATTAAGTGTAGAACTCCATTAACTTCATTCATGAGAGTTTTTTACTAGAATTTGTAAGGACTGGTAACACATAAAGCATGCATGTAACTTAATACCTTTTCTCAGCCCACCAAATCTGATTACTACTTCCAGAAGTTACTGTAGTACGCACAAATGTGAAATGGCAGGTGAATGAGTTAAAACAGATTTCATTCTGGTCCAGCATGTTTTTGGAGACAACTTCCAGAGCAATTAGAATACCCTTCAGGGCTTCCCTGGTGGCGCAGTGGTTGAGGGTCCGCCTGCAGATGCAGGGGACGTGGGTTCGTGCCCCGGTCTGGGAAGATCCCACATGCCGCGAAGCGGCTGGGCCCGTGAGCCATGGCCGCTGAGCCTGCGCGTCCGGAGCCTGTGCTCCGCAAGGGAGAGGCCACAACAGTGAGAGGCCCGCGTACCGCAAAAAAAAAAAAAAAAAAGAATACCCTTCAGATATTCAGGTTTAAGGCAGCTTTGAGATGGGTTTACATGAAATCCTTCATATAACGTGTGAGTCCCAGTAACTTCTTGTGTGTGTGAGTGCATGGTGACACCTTTAAGGGTGGTCTTAGAGAGCAAACACAGCATGAGATTCCCATTTTGAAGCTGCAGAGTGACTGACATCATAGTGTGATCAAAGTGCTCTGCAAATACTTACTGTAATTATTGTTGTTGTTCTGTTCTTGCTAATAACCTTATTTATTCTCTGAAATTATAATCATCCAAAGAAAGATTAAAACAAGATGTATGAGTTGCCTGAGCTCTTTGCCTCACAGATGGTCACCCTCAGAGTTCTCTGAAATTGACAGAGTTAATTGAAGCTTCAGTTTTCACGCCTGTAGTTGATACTTAAGTGTTTCTTACCTGTGGCTTTCACTATTCAAAACAGTACAACAATAGCACTTTAATTTGCTCTCATTAATGGTAGCCTCTCAGGTAATGTTAGTGCAGCTTTATCTAGATGTTGTTTGTTCCTCTGAATGAAACCTTTGTACCAGCTTCCCAGCCAGAGAAGGAAAGCTAAACAGTTACAAAGGTAAAAACATGAATGTCTCACTAATTTACTCATTTAAAGGATGCTCAGAACCCAGGAAACATCCAAGGGAAGTTAACTTTTAAGCAAAGGGCAGGCATTTAGTGTATGATTAACGGCAGTTTCTTTCACTGAGATTTCAGTGAGCTGAGACAACTGGGAATCATTCTTAGGGAGGCAGCTCAGAGCCAGCGAAGTGCTCCAAGGATAATCATTACAGATTCACACAAACAACAGTACTATTTGCTCTAGTTCTTTGGTGCCCTTCCAATAGTATTGAGATGTGAGGAAGCAATCTTAGGCTCAAGCTTAAATAGTAAGGGAAAGAAGTCCTTCTTTGCCTCTACTCCTCAACTGAGTAAAAGTAAAAGACCAGTGGAAAGAACAGGGTGTTAAAATGTTATGTTATTTAGGTTATGCAAGAGCACTTTGCCTGTACCTTGAGATTTGAGTACTGAAAAAGAGAATGACTGTGCTGCCCTACATCTGGGGACTGGTGTCTCCCAGTGGCATTGCTTGCTGTTTGATTAAGGCCCAAGAGAAAAAAACAGAATTGAGAAAGATGAAGGGAGGGAAGAAATTCTGGGCTTCCTTAAATCAAATACAACAAATTAGCAACCCCAGTAAAGACTGGGGAGTCAATACTGTGATCCTTCCTGTATGTGTGGTGTACAAAGGTAGGGCGCAAATTGTATATATGTGCATAACAAAGATGTTTTTAAAAAAAGGTAGAGCATAGGCTCCCCCGTTCAACTGCTTGGGGTCAAGTTGAAGCCCCATTAGTTATTGGTTGGGTAACTTTAAGCATGTTACTTTACTTCATTCTCTGTGAGGTTTTCCTATGTAATATGGGTATAAAAATAGGACCCCTTGGTAGGGAAATAGAGGTTAAATAAGATAATACATGTAAAGTGCTTAGAACAGGGCCTCAAACATGGTAAATACTTAACTTTTTAAAATATTAATATTTATATGAAAAATAAATTGGGATTGGTGATTTACTTCCTCAAAGATTTTTTCAAATTGTAATGTATGGCATGCAGTATTTCCTTTTACTAAAATTATCCCTTTTATTTAAGAAGTAGTTAAAACAATTACTCTACCAAAATAACATTTGCAGTTACTTAAAACATGAAATATCCTATATACATCTTACCTGTTTCAGAAGAATATGGTATAGTTTTGTTGGTATGGTATGGTGAGGGCTGTGCGTCATTGTGAAAAGGGCCACATTTTAGTGGAAAGCAAAGCATTTAGCCAAAATTTGGAGGTAGGGCAGAGATCTCTTCCCTACAAGTCATCCTTCTACACCAAGGCTACTGCTTTTGCTACAAGCATAATGTGGTGTTAGTGGTAAGCTCAGGAAACTTGTGAGTGTTAAAACCACCTTCTCCTTGGCTTGTCATATGATATATATGTGGAACCCAAGTCATTTTATACATTTGTTTGTTTCCTTGTATTCTAAAATGGGCACACACTTACCTACATCTGAGAGCTGGCAGGAAGTCTGTCAGCTCTTCATGGTATACCAATGTAGTTATAGCATAATAAATGCTATTGATAATGAAATTCTCTCACTCTGATACCCATATGAGCTTCAGTTCCTTTCTGGATCTGTTCCTCAGTGATTGCTTTAGCCAACTGACTATTCATGACTGAGTCTTGGTGTTGAGATATCAGAGGGCCATGGCCCTAAAGCCATGCTCCTTCTTCATTCTGTTTCATTTTGACCTTGATAGAACTTGAGAGGAAGAACCACTGTAGGATGGTGAGCTGAAAGTGAGAACCTATAGGCAAAGTAAGTAAAAGAAATACCACTTGATTATATGGACTAGAATTTGATATGGCAGAATCAGTTTGAGCTAAGTTAAGTGAAGCATCAGGACCACAAACCTTTTAAGGTGCTTCCAACAGTAAATTAAAACTCAAACACCTAACAAGGATTTGTGGAAATTCTTGTTGCCTTCGTATTTCTCTGCTCTGGACTGTTGTAACTCAAACTGCCTTGGCAATTAAAGCACACCAAGACATGCCTAGAAAACTCTTACCAGGCTTCCCTCTTTCGGATATCTGCAAGTTTTATTCCTGACAAACACCTGATAACTAGGAACTATAATGAGAAGCCCTAAGTCTGTGGGAAAACTGCATTGTAATAATGTGGCCAGTATTCAGACCTTTATTTCATACAGCTGTACTACTTTTCCACGTTATGCTGGCCTCATAAAACAAATTGAGAAGTGTTCTCTCCCCTATTTTCTGAAAGATTCTGTGTAAGATTGGTGTTATTTCCTCCTTAAACATTTGATAGTCACTAGTGAAGTCATCAGGGCCTCCAGTTTTCTTTGTAGGAAGGTTTTTTGGGTTTTTTTTTATTGTGGTAAAATATACATAAAATTTACTTCAAGAAAATGACTATTACTAGAAATAAGGAGGGGCATTTATTAATGAGTCAATTCATCAAAAATACTAACATTTAATATTGCTATTGTGGTCAGAAAACATACTCTGTATGATTTGAATACTTTGGAATTTATTAAGACTTGTCTTATAGCTCAGCATATGTGGTCTGCCTTGGCAAATGGTTCATGATCAGTTGAAAAAATGTGCATTCTGCTGTTATTAGGTATATTGCTCTTTCTATAAATGTCATTCAGGTCAAGTTGATAATGTTCAAAACTCCTATGTCCTTATTGATTTTTTGATAGTTCATTTCTGAGTGTTGTTCTGTTTATTACTGAGAGAGGGCTATTAAAATCTCCAAGTATTGCCGTGAATTTGTTAATTTTTCCTTTTAAAAGATTCTATTTTTGCTTCGTGTATTTTGAAGCTCTGGTATTAGGTACATGTACATTTAGGATTTTTATGTCTTGATGAATTGGCTCATCATTATTAAATGTAATAGTCTTTTTAAAAGTCTATTTTGTCTATTATTATACCTCCATTAGTTTTTTTCATGCAGTGTTTGCATGGTATCTCTTTTTTTTTTCTTTTTTTTCAATGTACTACAGAGCCCAAGAAGACCCAGAAGATATAAAGTAGGATCGCCATTTATATAAGGTTCAAAAATAGGCAAAATTAAACAGTGTTGCTTAGGAATGCATCAGTAGATGGCAAAACTGGGGGCACACAAGGAAGGAAATGAGCACCAGGCAGGGTGGGGGCTTTTGTCTGAGGTGGGAGCAGGGGCTGCTGAGCACAAGTACGCTGAAGGGCTGCTTCTTTTATGACTATTTATTAAACATCCGTGTTTTATGTACTTGTCTGTATGTATGTCAGATTTCACAACTGAATATGTGAATTATGAAAGACAAAAAAGTGGAGCTACTAAGTTGCTTCATTAAATAAGTGTAATTTCTGATTCCTAACCCTTTAACTCACTCCTATACCCTCAAATGCCAGCAGGTGTAAAGGGCAGCTTCCCAAGTTTATCGCTCCGTTGTATCTCCAGAGCAATTAAAACACTGGAGGTGAACTGGAAAGATCTGGAAAGACCTAGATCCCACCACCTCAGATAACAAGAAATGTCAGCAGCAACCCCTGCTCACCAGAAGGAATCAAGAAAGGACTGCTCTCCTGCTCAAATATTTGTCCTGCTCTTTTACCATCCCAGTCATCATTGCGCAGAGTTTATGTTTAACACCAAATGCTTGTAGGGCTACCAGGTCCCATCTCTTTTTTAGTTGTAATCTATTTGTGTCTTTAAAGTGCTTCTCTTATAGACAATACAGGTATGCCCTGCTTTTTGAAAGTTTGCTTTACCTCCTTCACTTGGATGAAAGACCTACATTGGTACCTGTTGTCGCTAAATGAAAGAAATCTGAAGAGGATTTTCACTTCTACGAAAAAAGGTGAAAACCGAAAATAGCTTTCAGTGTTTGTTTTGCAGTGAGCTGTTATAGAAGCGGTGCAAACCCTGAGCATCAAGAGCAACACCTCCAAGCTCCTTCCCTGGGAACTACACTCAGCATCCCAGCATTAAGCCGCCATAGCTTTGAGCATCTGTGCTTTATCTTGATTTATTTTGTGCATCTATTAACAAGATGTGTCCTAAGGTAATTGCTTTTTTGCTTTACACCATTTTGGCTTACAAAAGGTTTCACAGGAATCCTCCACTTTTGGATAGTGGGGGAGACCTGTATATGGTTGAGTATTGCTTTTTCATACAAATTAGCAACCTGTGTCTTTTAACTGGAATCCATTTACACTTAATGTAATTACTGATATGGTTGGATTTAAATATGTCATCTTGGTATTTGTTTTCTAATGGTTCCATCTGATCTTTAGTTTCTCCTCCTTCCTTTCCTGCCTTCTTTTGGGTGAATAGAATATTTTTAGCTATGCTTCTTTGTGTTATTTCAAATAAAAGTACTAATCCGTACAATTTCACTGTGCAAATAATATCTTAATTAAACTTGTATTCTAATTAGGGTATGCCAAAGACCTAAATAGACATTTCTCCAAAGAAGATACACAGATTGCCAACAAACACATGAAAGGATGCTCAACATCACTAATCATTAGAGAAATGCAAATCAAAACTACAGTGAGGTATCACCTCACACCGGTCAGAATGGCCATCATCAAAAAATCTAGAAACAATAAATGCTGGAGAGGGTGTGGAGGAAAGGGAACCCTCTTGCACTGTTGGTGGGAATGTAAACTGATACAGCCACTATGGAGAACAGTATGGAGGTTCCTTAAAAAACTACAAATAGAATTACCATACGACCCAGCAATCCCACTACTGGGCATATACCCTGAGAAAACCATAATTCAAAAAGAGTCATGTGCCACAGTGTTCATTGCAGCTCTGTTTACAATAGCCAGGACATGGAAGCAACCTAAGTGTCCATCGACAGATGAATGGATAAAGAAGATGTGGCACATATATACAATGGAATATTACTCAGCCATAAAAAGAAACGAAATTGAGTTATTTGTAGTGAGGTGGATGACCTAGAGTCTGTCATACAGAGTGAAGTAAGTCAGAAAGAGAAAAACAAATACTGTATGCTAACACATATGTATGGAATCTAAAAAAAAAAAGGTTCTGATGAACCTAGCGGCAGGACAGGAATAAAGATGCAGATGTAGAGAATGGACTTGACACGGGGAGGGCAAAGGGTAAGCTGGGATGAAGTGAGAGAGTGGCATGGACATATATACACTACCAAATGTAAAATAGATAGCTAGTGGGAAGCAGCCACATAGCACAGGGAGATCAGCTCTATGCTTTGTGACCACCTAGAGGGGTGGTATAGAGAGGGTGGGAGGGAGATGCAAGAGGGAGGAGATATGGGGATATATGTATATGTATAGCTGATTCACTTGGTTATAAAGCAGAAACCAACACACCATTGTAAAGCAGTTATACTCCAATAAAGATGTTTTAAATAAATAAACTTTGCACTCCAAAAAAAAACCAAACAAACAAATTAGGGTATGCCAAAAGAGAGTTAATAGAGGGTACCTCAAGAGAGTGGGACTCTCTGGTGGCAGAAACCAATTTTCTCTACCAGAATTCTTTTGGGAGCTGACCCTGCCCTTCTCTTTTTTTCTCATCACAAAATGGAACCATGACCTAGTAAACATTAAGCTAACATGATAGTCATAACATAAAGCACATATTTATTAATCGTTGCAGTGACTATAACTGGATAGCTGCCTGTATAGTGTCAACTCTTCGGTCACTTCCTTCTTCCACACTGCAGGGATCTAAGAAGCCACCTTGGGAAATATGAAGTAACTTCCTTCCAATTAAATTTATGTCAGACAAGTACCATTTTTGTGTAGTCAGTCAAACAATTAATTCACAAGCAGCTTGGTGCTGCCCTTAGAAGTTTGCAATTTATTTGAGAAAGCATTTATGTTAAGTAGTTGTATTATGTATCTATATTACGTTTATTATACAGTTTACTATATATTTATATAATATAAAAGATAAAGAGCATTGCAAGGCTGTTGTAGATAATACATAAATGAAATAAAGATGTTTGTGTGGTTAATTAGAAAAAGCTGCCTAAGCTGGACAAATTGCCACATGTTTAGGCCCTGGCTATACCGTGTTTTTCTATGGGCTAGCGGTCTGCAAGGCACACACTTCTCTGACATTTTCCTGAATTGCCTAATATCCAATCCGGTTATGCCTTTTTGTCTCCAGCTGTCTGTAGATGTTCTTGGGCATTTATAGTGAGAGAAACATCTTTTTATCCCTTCTCTTCCTCTTCTATATATAGATAGATATAGATAAGTATCACGTGATTATTTGAAGGATTGAAATTTCATTTTGATTTGGCTTTCCTGGGTGGAAAACATTTACATCATTTCATACTTTTGAGCATGAATTGCCTCTTTTTCTAGGTGTAATCCATTTCTACTCTTCAGCATACGGAAGATTTTATGAATAATGTTCAGTGCAGAAAGAGAGCTCTAAAAATAATTGTGCTAGTAGGGTTTTGTTAGTCTTATGTGGAACAGTGACAGGAGAAAAGAACAAAGGCACATCAGAGGAAAGGTAGTGGTAGGCAGAGCATTTGATTTCATTTGCCTCCACCAAAGAGCTTGCATTTAGTGGAGAAGGAAAAACAAATAAGAAACAGGAGATCTGCACTAGCTATTGAATGTTTCATTTCTCATCACTGTTAGTCACATTTGAATGGAATCATTGCAGTCTTTTTGGTGTGTATAACTAAGCCTTTTTTTCCCAAAAGGAAAATCTTGAATTTTATGTTTAAAAGCACAATGAGATGTTTTTGACATTCTGCAGTTTGTTTTGGAATTCTTAGTCTTAAAACCCATTGACTTTCAGTAAGGTGGTAAAGGGTGTACAATACATGTCATTTTTATGCCTGATAGCACCTGGGATAGTCTCTAATGCATATTATATATACACACCTTTTTTTTTTTTTTTTTTTTTTAAACATCTTTTTTGGGGTATAATTGCTTTACAATGGTGTGTTAGTTTCTGCTTTATAACAAAGTGAATCAGTTATACGAATACATATGGGACCATATGTCTTCCCTCTTGCGTCTCCCTCCCTCCCACTCTCCCTATCCCACCCCTCCAGGTTTATCATCCGTTTCTACCTGACAGCTTACAGCGTTAGGCTGAATGTTGCGATTAACAACTGAATGGGGGTGAAATGCCAAGCGGTATTACAATGGATTCTTATTGGAAAACATAAGCTCTTTAGAGCTTATTTTTTATACTTTTCCATGAAGATTTTAAGCCGACATATACGCCAGTACATAATTAAAATGTTATTTTAATTATGTACTGGCGTATATGTCGGCTTAAATGTTTAAGTTATTCTCCAGAAATGGAGATAGATTTGGCTAATCAAATGATGATTCTCCTCTTGAGCTGGGATTTAAGCATGCGTTTTGTACAGGGAAATCTGTTTTGCAAATGCATTACTGATTATTCTTTAAAATGTATGTATACAGGGTTGTTAGAATTAAGAACTGTTGGGATCATATCTTAATATAGTATTTACTTACTTATTTTACCAATATTCATATTATTCAGCCCAGCCCAGGGAATGAGATTTTTAAAATTTGTTTTCTTATTCTGCTCCTATACTTGGGTTTTTGGTCTAGTGGTCATCAAATATTCCCTAGAAATACATTTGCGTAGAATTCCCAAAACAAAATAATAAAATCACTTGAAAAAACTTTTTAGTATACAAAATCCAGATTCTGGGCTTACATGCTTTAGCCATGTGCTAAAAATTATATAAGCAAATACCAAAGAAAGCCAAGTTGGTCAAGGCTGTGACTTATAAAGAATGCCAGGCAATGTTGTACACTCCAGATATTCTTTTTCCTTCTCTTGGCCTGAAAAATATTTCAGGAAAGAAGCTACCATGCCCATCTTTCATTTCAAATTTTTTAGTTTTCATGTCCTTTCTCAGCTTGTAAACCTTTTAGGCCAGTTTTTGGCTCTTAGATAAATAATATGTTGTTTAATCCATATTGACTAATTAACTGTTTGTAACTTTCCAGGTACTGATTAGGATGAATGTGATTTGGAGAAATTATTTTTCTCGTCTAAGGATAAGAAAGGTGCCTCACAGGTACCGAAGTAGTTATCACCCAGTGGCCCCTCTGGGATCAAGGATTTTAACTGATCCAGCCAAAGTTTTTGAACACAACATGTGGTAAGTTATCTTTTTTTTTTTTGTGGTACACGGGCCTCTTACTGTTGTGGCCTCTCCCGTTGCGGAGCACAGGCTCCGGACGCGCAGGCCCAGCGGCTATGGCTCACGGGCCCAGCCGCTCCGTGGCATGTGGGATCTTCCCGGACCAGGGCACGAACCCGTGTCCCCTGCATCGGCAGGCGGACTCTCAACCACTGCGCCACCAGGGAAGCCCGGTAAGTTATCTTTTTAGGTGTGATATAATGTATGTACATTAAGCATCACCAGTGTTATTTTCATTTAGTGCCAGAAAAGGATTTTTTAAATTGAGCACTTATGTTGTTGAAGTTAAAAGCAAGGGTAACTGATCCCAACTTAAATGTTGCCAATTCTGAATATCTTTGCAAAGAGAATTAGAAAAGTGAAGTTTCCCAAGTGCTTTCCTCAGCTTTGGGTTCTTGCAGGCCCTCCCTGCTCACCTCTGATCCTGATTTGGCAGCATATCACTGAGGGGGCTCCTTTTCTAGGTAGAGCCCTCCATTTGCCTCTTTTACAAGTACTTATCAATCAGCAAATGTGAACTCAGTACCTGCTGCTTACTGAGCACCAGGGAGAACACATTGGTTTGACCTTAATTCATGCTTTTAGGAAATCCACCCTTTATTTGTGAAGATAGATGGGTATTTATAGGAAAAACTGATGATTAGGAATACAAGGCAGCAAATTGTAAGGGCCCAGAGTGTTCTTATAAGGCATAGGTCTGTATAAGAACAACTCAAGGGCTTCCCTGGTGGCGCAGTGGTTGAGAGTCCGCCTGCCGATGCAGGGGACACGGGTTCGTGCCCCGGTCCGGGAGGATCCCACATGCCGCGGAGCGGCTGGGCCTGAGAGCCATGGCCGCTGGGCCTGCGCGTCCGGAGCCTGTGCTTCGCAAGGGGAGAGGCCCGCGTACAGCAAAAAAAAAAGAACAACTCAACAATGCGGAATCACTTCTATTTTGGCATAGTCAGGAAGATTTTGTTTTTTCAGCTTTATTGAGTTATAATTGGCATATAAAGGAAGGTTTAAGTGGGGAAACTGAGATATTTATTCTTTCTCCAGTACCCAGTATGGTGCCTGACACATAAATATTTGTGGAATAATAGATAGGTAAAGCTGGAGTAAGGGCATTCTAGGTGGGTAGACAGTCATATCCACCTAGATGAGGAAGTATAAGGCATATTCAGGAGAACAGGATAGTTTGCCGAAAATAAAGGCTCTTCTAGGAGATTGGTAAATGATAAGGTTGGAATGGTAATAGACCAGGTGTGGGGTAGGAGCAAGATTGTGTGTGGTCTTAAATTCACACCTGAAGTGAAAGGTATTACAGAGCCACTAAAGAGAAATGGCATTTATTATACATGGTATATTAAGTATAAGTATTTGTATAACAGTATAAGGATAAATCAGCAGGTAGAACTAGAAGCAGAAAAGGGAAAATGAGAGAGAGATTGTAAGGGAAGAAAAAATAGAACTTGGTGCTTTTGCAGAATAAAGGAAAAGGAAACATTTGACTCTGAAGGTTTGATCCTAGATGACTAATAGAAATAGGAAAATCAAGAGGTAAATTGATTTTTTAAAAAATATAATAGAAGAAAAACAGGTGGTTTATCTTCTTTTTTTGTTTGTTTGGTTTTTGTTTTTTGTTTGCATTACGCAGGCCTCTCACTGTTGTGGCCTCTCCCGTTGCAGAGCACAGGCTCCGGACGTGCAGGCCCAGCAGCCATGGCTCACGGGCCCAGCCGCTCCGCGGCATGTGGGATCTTCCCAGACTGGGGCATGAACCCGTGTCCCCTGCATTGGCAGGCGGACTCTCAACCACTGCGCCACCAGGGAAGCCCTTTTTTTTTGTTTGTTTTGTTTTTATCTTCTTTTTTTAAATTGAAGTGCAGTTGATGTACAATATTATATAAGTTACAGGTATAAAGTATAGTGATTCACAATTTTTAAAGGTTATACTCCATTTATAGTTACAAAATATTGGCTATATTCTCATCCTTGTAGCTTATTTTATACATAATAGTTTGTACCTCTTAATTCCCTACCCCTATATTGCCCGCCCCTCTTCTCTCTCCCCCTGGTAACCACTGGTTTGTTCTCTGTGTCAAACAGGTGGTTTCTTATAAAGTTAAATATACACTTACCATATGACACAGCAATTCCACCCACTCCTAGGTATTTACCAGAATAAATGAAAATATATGTCCACATAAAGACTTGTATATGAGTGCTCATAACAGATATAGGTATTTGACAAAATAAGAGGTAAATTGATTTTTTATTTTGGAATAAAGATGGTGCATTTAATTTTAGATATTTTGAATAGGTTTTCAGAGAGGGACATCCTGAGAAAAATGTCCAGAACGTAGACTCCACTGCTAGGAAGAGAGAGCAGTCAGGGCTGAAGATGTGAGGTTGGGTATAATATCTGCAGACAAGATTGTTATCTGACTAGCCTTGGGAGCAGGACCTCTAGGGCTGGGAAAGTAATTCATGGACTTTCTATGTTTATATTGCAACAGAATATCAATTTTAAAAGGAAATAGATTGACTTTATTAATTAGTCCTGCACTATACAATATGGTGGCCCCTACCCACATATGGTTTTTGAGCACTTGAAACCTGGTTAGTCTGAATTCAGATGTGCTATAACATTTTGAAGATTTAATACAAGTAAAAGGTAAAGTATATCGTTAATAATTTTTGTACTTAATTATTCAGTAAATGTTAAAATGATATTATTTTGGATATGTTGAATTACAGTATATTATTAAAATTAATTTCCTTTTCACTTTTTTATCATGGCTACGAGAAAATTTTAAATTACATGTGTGGCCGACATTATACTTTCTTGGACAGTTACTAAGTTAAACCATTTTGACTATCATCACCAATTTGGACAGTTATAATAGGCTGTGAGATAATTGTCAAACAGTTAAACCTCCAGAGGAACTTCTGGTCCTAGGCAAGCTCCTCATTTGCCAGGTTTTTTGTTTTGTTTTTTGTCAGTAGACTCTAGTGATTCAGTTGTCTACATTTCTTTTTCCATTTGCTATCACTAGCTTTTTTGCCCAAGATTCCTGCCTGCCCATTTAAGTTCTGTTTTGTCATAGGCTCTCAGGGAAGCAAGGGTCATCTGGTTCAGTGCCTCTCAAACACTGTGGGCTAGCTTAGGGCTGCTGCACAAGAATCCCTTGAGGTATGGCCCAGGAATTTGTAATTTGAAAAAGTTCTTTTAGTAATTCTGTTGAGCTACCAGGTTTAGGAATCCTTGATGCAGTCCAATGGTTTCAAACTTTAGTAGAATTTTTTTTCCAAGTGAAGGCTTAACATAGAATCCCAATATTTAAAAGGTAAAAACAAACCTACTCTGAGTGAAGTGAAGTGGTCATAGAGGCTTGGGGCATTGACAGCTCCACTTCCCTTTTCCTCTCCCACCCCTCCCTCCCTCTAGCAGCCTAGAGGACCTTTAGGGTTCAGCTGACCAGAGTTTGAAAAACCTTGATCTGATCTCTACAGCCATCCTTCTCCATAGCATACCCCCAAAGAAGTTACCCTGACTGTGCAGGATACCTCTAGTGAACCCTCTCCAAAGCAGATACATACTGTAATAATAAAAAAAATAATAATTTTCTCCAAGGGAAGAGGAAAGTAGTTGCTTCACATCACCTTCCCATGTCCCCCACCCCAGTTCCCCCCACTTTTTTGCTTGAAGAGAAGATAAGTAAGTTAAACTGAAAACCAGAAGACTGGTTTACTTTCTCCTTACTTCAAGTCCAAAGTTCTGTCTAAAAGTTCTCACTTCCTTCCTTATTTCCTCCTTTATATTTAAGAATAATGTCTCCTCATGCTGAATTTTGATTTTTAAGAAGTCTCTTAACAAGTACATGTCAGTTTTCTCTCAGAGATGTTGATCAGAATTGTGTACAGTTCATTTTTCCCTTTAGCCTCTAGTTTAGTTAATAAGAACTATTTACTCTATACATGAACCTCTTGTTAAAAATTTTTTGAGAAAAAATAAAAATACCGTTTTTCTTCAGTTTCTATATCCTGAGTAATATTTGCCCTCCAGATTCTGGATATTACTAGTATTTACATCTGCCTATAGGCTCTTAATTCTTAATAGTTTAGTTAAGTGAATTTCACATAACATAAAATTAACCATTTTAGGTGAACAGTTCAGTGGCATTAATTACATTCACGATTTTGTGCGACCAGCATCGTTCCAAAACATTTCCATAACTCTAAAGTAAAATCCCTTATCCATTAGGCCTCTTACACTCATGCTACAGTTCCCAGCCCCTGGCAACCACCAAGCTGTGTTCGTCTCTAGAGAATTACCTCTTCTGCATATTTCGTATAAATGAGATTATACAATATGTGATCTTCTGTGTCTGGCTTCTTTCCCTTAGCATAAAGTCTTGGAGATCCATCCATATTGTAGCATGTATCGGTACTTGATTCATTTTTATGACAGAATAGTATTCCATTGTATGTATATACCACAGTTGGTTTATCCACTCATTCACTGATGGACATTTAAGCTATTTCCACCTTTTGGCTCTTGTGAACAGAGCTGCTGTGACATGTGTGTACATGTACTTGTTTGAGTCACCTAGGAATGGAACTGTGGGGTCATGTGGTAATTCTACATTTAACTTTTTGCGGAACCGCCAAACTTTTCCACAGTGACTAAATCATTTTGTATTCCACTTATAGTCTTTTAGTTATACTTAGTACATTTATCAATTTGGGGGGCACTGACATGAAACTATATTCAGAGTGCTTGTGAGACATGGCCCAGACATCTGTCTGTATTGAGCAAATTACACAGTTACTTGGAAGAATCATTCCTTATTCCACGCTGCTCCTGGTTTAAGTGTATAGGAACTTTTCAGGGGACCCCCGAAATTTATAAGGAAGCAGTAAGCACTTGTATTATCATATAACTAAATCAGCTAGGCCAGCAGCTTTCAAGCTTT